AAGGATCGTAATTATGCCAAGTGGATAAATTTATCGGTTTTCAAGAGCTAAGTTGACAGCGCGGGTCATCCCTACAATGGCTTCCATTTTCACGATTGAAAAAATTAATCGGCGTTATTGAGAGATGATTTTGACGAAGTAGAGTTTAGTTTAGTTTAAACATATTTTATTTACTCAAAGTAAAATGGATTGGACACAAGTAAACCATACTTATGAAGTCCGCTCCGAATAACAATAAATTACAATACAATATTAATGTGAGCATGCAATAATTCAGAATATACAATACTATAAGAGTCTATCTATTGAAAAAAAAAGATAAAACAATAATAACGGAAACATTGGTAATGATGATGAGGATGATGACGTAAATGTACCGCAAATACACTATGAGTATCATATAACAAGAAATCTCTCAGACCTTTTAATAAACTCGAATACATGTTTAAATATATTGACGTTTTGTTCATACGAAAGGTTCGGATAACCAGATGTTAGTAACTTAACATTTAATATAAGGTCATCAGGGAGCCATCTTAAATTGTTCATCAGAATTTCTCTCTGGTGTGTATATAAAGAACAGTCGAAAAGGAAATGGTGTACAGTCTCAATGTTGCATTTACAAAAACAAGATGGGTCAGCAATTATATTGACTCTAAACAAGTCATAGTTCAAGAAAGATTAATAGCATCTGAATTGTGTTAGAATTATATTTAGTTTCCTCGGTCCATATAAATAGTGCTTCGGTACATCTTTATTTATAGTATTTAGCATTTTTAATTAGATTTTAAATTTTGAGATAGAGTCTGATTTTCGAAGGGACAAATCGGTATGATTTTATAGTCTTAAAGTTGATGGTATAAAAGATTCTTTAGTAAGGGATAATCTACAAAAAGGAACAATGATATCATTGCCATTTCGCAAGGGATATAAAGTTGTGCTCTGTACAACGAAGTAGAGTCCTGACTTTCTGTGGAAAGTTCTACTAATTTACACAAAGCCAAGCCCCCTTTTTTTAAAAATTATAATATGAAGATCGGTCAATTCTCAGCTTCTAAGCAGAGCCAATAAATCAACAAATCATTGAAAATATTTTTTATACAGTATTTAAAGTGTAAATTATATATATATTTTTTCATAAATGCCTGTGCTCATTGTACATCTTGAGATGACCCCACCTAAAAAGGTTACCTGTCGTCCTAGGCATAGGTGTAAGCGTCAGTGTCGATAAGTTTTCGAAAATGTCTATTGAGACATCACTTTATAAGACCATCGACGCTTTTCAAGAAATACATCACATCCCTCAAGAGTCAATAGCTGCTTATGAATATCACACAAAATAGCTTTGCAATATTATTAATTCATGTAATTTATACAGAGACTATGAAAACAAAAATATATTGAGTGCAAACATAAACTTCAATGAAATCGGTTAGAATGATAGTTCAAACAAATTGCGCTCAAAATGAAATCAAGGTTTCAATATCCATTTTGATTTGAGCAGCTATATCATTTAAAATCCTTACTGCAGTTTTTTTTAGAATGAAAAATAACGTAAAAGTTACTAAATTGCACCGAACACCCAATATGCACCCATTCAGAAAAAAAAATTAGCAGCGGAAATTTTACATGTTTTCTTAGAGACTAAACAATTGGTAGTTTTATGATTTGATATAATGCACGTCTTTCACCATAGCGTAATATATTTAAATATACACAAAACGGTCACAGTATGTTTCAACAGATGATATATTCAGTGAAAAAATAAAATATACGGAAAAGTCGCCATGCGACGTCCACAAAAAGTCAAATTTTTAAAAATGAGCAATTAGAATATGTCACAGGTATCCATTTCCTGATATGAATAGTAAGCAATGGCTATTGTCTAATTATTTTGGAGGAATAAAACAAAACATTAGTTATTTGAATTTTACGGATGTGAATTTAAGCATGGATGCAATTTTGGTACTCCTCATTACGGAATCATGGGTCGTTTGGAGGTCGGTTCAAACACATTTTTCTACGATTCAATATGAATTCAAAATTAAATTGGTGAACTATATACAAAATATAGTAAATAATGATATATCTACAAAATAAGCACAGAATAGAAACTTTTGTCTAGATCATAAATAAACGTAGGTGAAAAAAACAGTCAAAATAGGTGTAATTTGGGTACCATCACGTTAACTGTAAAATATTATCAAATTCTCGCTGTTAGAATCATACACTATCCTAAAAAAATGTCGATACTTGAGTTAAAAGTTTTGACCAATTAATGGTAGCGATCTATAATATCTCTGTTTTAAAAGTTATTGTGATATTGTCATTAAAATCTAAAACGTTCCTACAAATGAGTGTGCAAATAACCATCTGGGAAAGGGTAAATAATTATCCGAAAACAGCACATACTATAAGAACTTGTTAATGCAACATCACCACTCCACAAAGAAAGAAACCAATATGAAAAGACTCACTTGACAAACAAATTAGTATACAAATTTCTATAAGAAATATTGACACAAAGGCCTTAAAAGGACAAAGGTCACTTTGAATTAAGAAAGAGCAAATGAAGATGTACAAAGATTTATGGCCTACTTCCCCTTTTTTTTATTTTACAACAGGTTTTTTTTTCCAAAAATCTGTCAATCTTCGCTTAGATTGTGTAAACTGAGTTTTAAACAACAATATTGCTTACTTTTAAATAGATGACCAAATTATATACGGCATAAATAATAGCTCAAAACGGAATTTAGACAGTTAAATCAAAAAAAAAAAAAAATAAAAATATTTGGAAATACAGCTATATGTTGTCTAAGCAATACACATTAATTTATTTTGGTAAAAGACGTTGATGTAAAATTTCACAAAAACATGTAAATTTGCAATTTTGTCTCAAAACGCCTTAAAGAGCAACACGTATCGTCTCATTATATTCCTTTTTTATGGAAATATTTGGAAAAGTTGAAATTTTAAATACAAACGCAGAAATATTGATGCTTCGGAACAATCTAGTAGGATTTGACAACTATTTTGACCAAGTAAATGAAACAAAAAAAATAGGAAATTTACCTTATCTCTATCATTGGTAATTGAAGACAAATATAGATAGTTTACCTAGAATATATCGTTTATATATCTACAGGTATCAACTGATGTTTCGTTTGATCTTTGAGAAGGTTAAAGGTTAAAGGTTACACTGTAATCTATAACAGCAAATGCACAAAACTTCGACAAGAGGGGACAGTTATTTCCCATTGGAATACAAATAACTTCATGGTATACCTAATGTCTAAAACGAACGTATGTTATTTTCTGTCATCTTTATAGTATGGTATCGCAAGAAGCTCGAGATTTCACTCATCGGAATACAAATAACTTGATGGTATACTTAATCTCCAAAACGAACTATGTTATTTCATGTCATCTTTATAGTATGGTCTCGCGAGAAGCCCGCGATTTCACTCATCGGAATACAAATCACTTGATGGTTTACTTAATCTCAAAAACGAACGTATGTTATTTCATGTCATCTTTATAGTATGGTTTCGCGAGAAGCCCGAGATTTCAAATATCTGAATACAAATAACTTGATGGTTTACTTAATCTCTAAAACGAACGTATGTTATTTCATGTCATTTTTATAGTATGGTCTCGCGAGAAGCCCGAGATTTCAACGGAGTTTGAGTAGGGATCCTGGAACGACCACGTAATCTCCAAAACGAACGTATGTTATTTCATGTCATCTTTATAGGATGGTCTCGTAAGAAGCCCGAGGTTTCAACGTAGTTTGAGATGGGATCATGGTACGACCACATAATCTCCAAAACGAACGTATGCTATTTCATGACATCTTTATAGTATGGTCTCTAAAAAAGCCCGAGATTTCAACATAGTTTGAGTTGGGATCATGGTACCACTTGATCATACGGATCACCTGAATCTGATAGGTGATGCATTTATAGCAGAAGAGTCTTGACCTTTCGATGCACGCACCTAGTTTATCTCAGTATACTACTACGATTGATATCACTCCTGCACGCACCTAGGTAATTTCAGTATGCTACTACGATTGATATCACTCCTGCACACACCTTGGTAATTTAAGTATGCCACTACGATTGATATCACTCCTGCACGCACCTAGGTAATTTCAGTATGCTACTACGAATGGTATCACTCCTGCACGCACCTAGGTTATTTCAGTATGCTACTACGATTGATATCAATCCTGTATGAATAAAAAGACAAATCACAAAATACTGAATTCCGAGGAAAATACAAAACGGAAAGTCCCCAATCAAATGGCAAAATCAAATGATAAAACACATCAAACGAATGGACAACAACTGTCATATATATGAATATGAGAAGATGTGGTGTGATTGCCAAATGAGGCAACCATCCCTGAGAGACCAAAATGACGTAGAACTAGTCAACTTCAGGTCACTGTACGGCCTTCAAAAATGAGAAAACGCCATACCGTATAGTAATCTATATAAAAGGTCCCGACATGAACAAGTTGTAAAATATTTCAAACGAGAAAAAACAAACGGACTGCTTGATGTACAAATCAACAAACAAAACAAAAATGATTGAGAGTGACCACTGACACGATTTGTTTTGTCAGTTTGTACAACTGTTTAAATGAATTTTGGTATTATAATTCATATATTAAATGATATTCAAATATTGTGATCGGTAATGGGTTTCATTCGTGTTATTTTGTCTACTGAACATGGTTAATTCAGCCTTTAATAATTTAATCATTCTTTTAATAATTAAAAAAAATGTTATTTGAATATCAGAAATGTTAATGTACGAAGCTGGTAACAAGAAGCGAAAATATTCTTACTGAAACAAGAAGGGTTAAATGTGATGCCGATGACTATAAATATGAGCATTCAACCATGTAGATGTATATATTTGTAAAAGTCCTCATTTTCTTATATATTATTGACCCTGTAGTTGGATGTTAAGATAATCACAAATACATAACAGGAACTTGCACTTTTTATTATTAATAAAACATATTCATTTACAATACAGTTCATTTAAAGTTAATAGTCGGCTTTATGTTTTTTGCCGTAAAACGGGTCATTGTAGTGCAGTGGGTGTCCTCCGCTAGATCCTCCGTGAGATACAGCATGTGCGTGTGCTGAGGCAGCTGCGTGTGCGTGTCCTCCTCCTCCGCTGTGACTAACGGAGTGACTAACGGCGTGACTAACGGCGTGACTAACGGCATGAGAAACTCCTCCTCCTCCTCCGCTTACTGAAGCTGCATGTGCATGTGCATGGGCATGAGCACTTGCACCACCGCCTGCGCCTCCGCTTACTGCATGTGCTCCTGCTGCGGCGCCTGCACTTGCACCGGCTCCACCTCCTAATCCTGTAAATAAAAATAGATATTTAAAACATTTGTACACCCTTGCATTCTTTATTGGTGCAATAAAAAGACCACTAATTAAAAAAAAATAATTACTCGTTACCAGCTTTTCCTGTACTTGATAAACATTTAACAATATAGAATATTTAGGTTTTCACCATTCTACAATATTTCATCTTTATGTGTTATGTACTTGTTCACAGCACTTATATAAAATCTGTACAAAAGTGATTTCGGTAGCTGAAAAATTTGGTTGAAAATGAAATACGAATCTACGCAATATTTTTTAACAAATTAAAAAAAATATATTAACTACCTCCAAAACCTAAGCCTCCCAATCCTCCGAGTGCACCACCGGCTCCGAGTCCACCGACTCCACCGACTCCACCGAGTCCAGCACCGAGTCCACCGACTCCACCACCGAGTCCACCGACTCCACCGAGTCCAGCACCGAGTCCACCAACTCCACCGAGTCCAGCACCGAGTCCACCGACTCCACCGAGTCCAGCGGCTCCTCCGGGTCCAACACCGAATCCTCCGACTCCTCCGGGTCCACCAGCGACTCCACCAGCTCCTCCGGGTCCACCAGCTCCTCCGGGTCCGATTCCACCAGCTCCTCCGGGTCCGAGTCCACCACCGATTCCAATGTCTCCTGCGCCGACTCCAGCAGGTCCTCCTGGGCCGTTCAAGCTCAGGAACGTATCAAGATCTCCAATAAATTCTCGTACAAGCTATAAAATAAAGAAATAGCTATTTATCATAAATCTCGAATCAAATATTTTTTAATCTTATTTTAGCATGCGTTATACTATAAATGGAATATTTAACCAATACAGATATATAAAAAATTATAAAATCTATCATTAAGGTATATAAAGATCATATATAGTTTTAAAAAGTTGATAATTACATCAATAATTTAACCGGATACCTTGAATAGAGTTGAAAAATGTATTTCTATTGAATAAAATTTGTTATTTGAGTTGACAAAGTAGTTACTGTGGCTTCATTATTATTCGTGGGATACCAATTTTCGTGGATTTCTTAAATTAAATATTCAACGAAGAACACAGTTTCTATTAGCATGTACTGTGGATTCGTTATTATTGGTTGGATACAAATTTTCGTGGATTTCGTTGGTATAGGTACACCACGAAATTAAATGCTCAACGAAGAACAAATTTTCTATTGGAATTTATACAGACTTTGGCAAAACCACGAAATCAAATATCCACGAAAATGCAATTTTCCCTTAATTTACGATAATTGGTATCCATGAAAATAAATTAATCCACAGTGTGCAAATTTTACCAAAACAGTTTTTCCCAAATCCACTAAAATTGGTACCTACGAAAATAAATGAGCCTCCTCATGGGGTTTTTGATTATGTGATTACTTGGCCGTTTTTATAGTGATTATTTGATTACCAGACCAAATATTTCATGATTATTTAATCTTTTGATAATCTAGGACTGTATTTTTGACTATTTGATTATCTTGTTTAAAAAAATTTATTAATAATTATATGATTAATATATTGGCAAAAAATTTGTGATTATGTGATTACTTGGACACCGCCATGAGGGGCCTCATAAATGAATCCACTAGTTAGGTAAACAACCTACCTGCCTGTTTACTTCGTCACTGTTCGGGCCAGTTATATCCGCTACAAAATAAAATGACAACTTCAAACTCCTTAATGAAGCTAGGCGCGGGCGCACATGCTTGTATGGCACATTGATGCTTAGAACGCAAAGCAAACGCAATCGATCAGCTAAAACCGGTAACTAATAGGCACGCGCAACTTGGCACGTTTACACTACCTATTTAATTTCATAATTTTGTGTGCTATCTCCCAAAAATGCGTGCTAATTGCAGCTAAGCGCCATCTTAAAATATAGTAAAACAGGTACAAGAAAACCTGAAGTAATATAAAGTAAGGAAATGCGGCATGACTGCCAATTACACATAAGATACCAATGGGCGAAAACGCTCTTGAAGACCTAGTTCTCTAATTCCTTTAACAGAAAAAATATCTTTTCAATCACATGTTACCTCTGGTATGACAGTATTAAGATGAACTCTGTATCTTTTGATAATTTATATACATATAGTTCCTGCACTAGTATAAGAAGACATGTGTTTTCTATGTTGTGATGTTATACTATTGTTTCAGAAAAGGGAGAAGATTTGGTACCATTTAAACGTTTAATCCCGCTGCAAATGTTTGCACCTGTCCTAAGTCAGGAATCTGATTACAGTAGTTGTCGTCTGTTTATGTAGTTCATACCTGTTTCTCGTTTCTCGTTTTTATATAGATTAGACCGTTGGTTTTTCCGTTTGAATGGTTTTACACTAGTTATTTTTTGGGGCCCTTTATAGCTTGCTGTTCGGTGTGAACCAATGCTCCGTGTTGAAGGCCGTACCTTGACCTACAATGGTTTACTTTTATAAATTGTAACTTGGATGGAGAGTTGTCTCATTGGCACTCATACCACATCTTCCTATATCTATGTATGGTCATTTGATCATAACATCGATTAAAATGGCTAGACATAAACATTTTCATTTTGTTAAGAGTATCGTTTATTGTTTTGTTTTTGTATAGATATGTTACTTGCGGGGAATTTTGTATTGTTCAAACATTTGGCTTTACGAAATCACTAGACCAGAGAACAAATGACGAGAAATGGCGTAAACAACTATCGGTCACCATACAGTTTTCCAAGACCACATAAGATTAAATCCTTTTTTAAGTCCAATAACATGTTCTCATAGAAATAAAACAACTACTGAACAGTCAGAAAACAGAAATGAACAGATTTTAATTGACCGCATACGAAGGGTGTAAACACAAACTTGATTTACCGCTGTGGGTGTATAAAAACGAATGAAAGCTGAACAGACTGAATAATGTATTCAATTGGGTAACATGAAAATAATCGTTTCTGCTCAAAATAGATATACAAATGGTCTGTTCAGATACCAAAGGGACATTTAAATTCATAGGTCGAATATAAACTGACAACACCAAGGCTAACAAAGAAAAATACCAACAGACAACGAACAGTACACAAACCTCAACATAGAAAACAAAAGACTGAGCAACACGAACTCCACCAAAAACTGGGGGTGATATCAGGTGCTCCAGATGGGTAAGCAGATTCTGCTCCACATTTGGCACCCGAATTTAACTGTTCAGTATCGTGTTACATCGCGAAAAAATTGTTTGATATTTTAGAGGTAAATGATTTACATAATGCTTTATAACAACCGTACTTTCAAGCAGCAAACAACTACCCTTTGTAAACAAGGAACTTGTAATGAATTAAATATGAGATTCCTGTTTTCAGAAAGGGTCATATGTAGATGTATGATGTGATTTTAAGGCGACAATAGTTTACCGATGTTCAAATCTCGAAAATCGATTAAAAAGAGACAAATCATGGTAACACACAAAACTGAAGGAATCGCAAGAACTCCAAACGGAGCATCGACAGGGTAAGCGTCTCCTGCTATATGTAACAGGAATAATGCAAAGGTAAATAAACATTTGTCACATACATCAAAAGCAGTCTGTGATCGGTTTTGTTTCGATTTGAAAATTATAAGCGCATGGTATCAATTTGCACACAAGCAATGATATTGATTTGATCATAAGAAGCGCATGGTATCGATTTAAGCATAATGAGCGTATGATTCTGCTAAGTTATCATATTTGGTAAAATAAGATGTATGCAGCGCTATGAGATGAAAACAATTTATTGCATATGTATATAGGAAGGACCACGTGATTAATATTTTCTAAAGTCAATATATCAAATACAAAAAAAAATCCTCTTCAAGATATAAACTGATGAGAGAATACAAATTATGTTTGCAAAATGCATCGATTAAATGTTTCCTTTTTGTAAAAAAAGATTCAACCATATAAATGACAGCTCAAATCTTTACAATTATTTGATTTAATCAATGTTTTATTTACAAACGGGCACATTGATAGAGTTGTTTTAAACATTAAATATAGAGCGTTTGCTGAACAAATAATCATAGAACCGAATCTGGTTCCTACTGATCTCTTGAGGGGTGAAAATAATCCCTGTCTAGCTTGAGTATGGAAAAAATGAAAATTTAAAAACTGGAATAGTTTTTGTATTTTTCTAATTCTTTCAAAAAAAATGTGTTTATGAATATCATTCGTATTTTCAATGTTTAAATTGTCGTTCGCATTGCAAAAACATATAGATCCACTATTAAAACCATACATTCCCTTTGCTTTTCATTGACCCATAATATTTTATCCCCTTGATGGATCTAGCCATTTGAAAAAAAAGGGGAGGGTTCCAACCACATGTCCCCATTCAAATGCATTTATCGTCAAAAAAGAAAGGGGATTCCAACCCCCTTGAACCCCCTGGATCCGCCACTGATTGCTTAGAAATAACAAAAATCAACATGCAATTGGCGGAAATGAAACTCGATCTTCAGCAAACGCTCTATTGCAACACATATTTGAATAAAGATGGTACATACCGAAGTCTCCATATCGAGCACCATCATCATCAACAATAATAGTTATGGTTCCTGTAAAAAAATATATAATAATATATTTTAACGCATGATAGCTTAAAAGACCTAACTTTGCAAACTTTGGAAATAACATATAATTAGAATCATGAATATAAAAATGATGTTTTTATGCATATATGCATGTGATATATTATAGGGATTTTTAAAAATTTAGGCAATATTCAGTCCTCTATCCATTCGGTATAAGTATTTGACGTGATACATCTGACTTGGAGGGATCAAACCTGTACAAACGTCAAATGCCATAATAAAATCACTGAATTTTGATGTTTATAAATTTGCACGGGGGTTTATATATAACTATATATTTAGACCTTCATTTAATGGTATAGTACATTGTTGTCATGCGAAATGAACAGTCTCGTCTTGATGTCAGAAGATGCTCGTTCATAATTGTGGTTACTTGTTCGTATATTTTATGAGACCAGACACGTAGATCAAACCATGTTTTGAAGTTGAATGCATCACAATAAAAAGATGTGTTTTTATCATTTGTATTCCTATGTTAAAGCACCGTGTCAAATGTGTACTTTCTGAACAAATTTAAAAAAAATCAATGACGTAACATTTAACTTTTACTGACCTGAAATTCCACCAACACCAGGTCCTCCTTGTTCACCATCAGGTCCTAAAATCAAAAGGAATAATTGTACAGACAAAAGGAGTAACGAAGTGAAATAAAAAACAATTGAAATGACAAAAGGAGTAACGAAGTGAAATCAAAAGGAATTCAATGTAAAAACAAAAGGAGTAACGAAGTGAAAAAAAAATGTAAAGACAAAATGAGAAACGAAGTGAAATAAAAAAAAAATGTAAAAACAAAAGCAGTAACGAAGTGAAATAAAAAATTGTAAAGACAAAAGGAGTAACGAAGTGAAATCAAAAGGAATTTAATTGTAGAGACAAAAGGAGTAACGAAGTGAAATCAAAAGGAATTTAATTGTCGACACAAAAGGAGTAACGAAGTGAAATAAAAAAGGAATTTAATGGTAGACACAAAAGGAGTAACGAAGTGAAATCAAAAGGAATTCAAAAGAAAGACAAAAGGAATGAAAACATTGAATAACTTTATAGGTCGATTTCCTGGCATTGTTATGCAATTCGTTAGGGTCTAAGGGTTATAAAGTTACTATTATAAAATGTGAACGAAAATAGTAAATCAAGATAACAAAGCAATACAATAAGTGTAAACAAGTCACATGGCAAAGTAGGTACTGTTACCAGTATATAATTATTAATATATGAGACAAGTGCAATTTCAAAATTTAAACATATATATGTTGATTTCATCAAAGTGTAATTGTATCTATTTCTATCCATGATAGAAGAAACTAAATGGAACAAAATGAAAATAAAGGCTATACCAAGCTTATCTGTAGCAGATAAATTTTAAATACCTTGGTTTCCTCGTAGTCCTTGTGGTCCCTGTGGTCCTCTTGGTCCATTTCTTCCTGGTCTGCCTGGTCTTCCAGCATTTCCGGATTTACCTTAAATTATTAAAGTTACATTGATGTAAATTATACCATTATATTTTATATTTCAGCCTTAAAGCAATTGATATAGGTGACTTATTCATCTGGACATAATTTTTAAGATACATGGTAAAGTTGGGGATATTTTTATTATAAAAAGTCAAGATTGATTGCTTCAGTTAATTCTTTGTAGTTTAACGTGTGAAGTAATAAATTTTAGAAAAATGTTGGAAAGTTGAATTATAAAATGTCTTTTTGTATTAAGAAAAAGGTATACATATATATTAAGTAGTCGATTTTTCATATCAAACTCATATTTTGATTTTGTTTGCACTATATCAAGAAAAAAAGAATTAAGTGAGACAATAAATGAAACGAAAAAAATATACATGTAATTCACCATTTCAGAATCTAATGCATTCAAAAACGTACAAAAACACTCTGAGATTGGCTAAAATCGTCCAAAACAACGAAAATTCAACCAATGAAATGATGTTATTTTCAGATTAGGGTACGAAAAATAAAATTACCCATAATTCAACTAATGAAATGATGTTATTTTCAGGTTAGGGTACGAAAAATAAAATTACCCATAGTCCTTTAGATTCCGAAACAACGAATTGTTGCATGATCGCAATAAATAGAGAATATCATATGGCTTTTTCAATATCACATCTGTATCAACCAGAGACACCAATATAATCACAAGAGCTCTGCTCGAGGGATTATATTGGTTGAGGGTTGATACGGTGTGTGATATTGGAAAAGCCATATCATATACACTTTATTATATACATGTACCTCATGTAGATGTTTTTTATGTGACATGACGTCATACATATAAGGGGATTTGAAATGACGTCATACAGTTAGAGGTTTGACATGATGTCATACAGGTTAGGGGTTTGATAAAGCCTTTGCAACAGTGACTGCAATCGATGACGTCACGTCATACGGATTAAAGGTGTGATAAAGCCTTTGCAACCGTGCTGATATCGATATCATCACGGGTGGCTGATACAGCACGCTTGCCAATGACTGTATTACACATACAATTTATCTGTATTTACTTCTAAGTATATAATAAAAGTAATTATATAGAATATCTCGGTACCTCTGGCTCCTCGGAAGCCGGTTGGTCCTTTGACACCACCAACACCAGTTGCACCTCTAGTTCCTGTTGCACCCATGTCACCTTGTTTGCCTTCTTCTCCGGGTTGTCCTGGTTCCCCGGCAGGTCCTTTCTGGCCGAGTCTACCTTTACCACCAGCCTCTCCTGTTAAAAGAAAATACATTCAACTTTTATTCGCAATATTTCTCCGTATAAATCTCTTAGAAGTTGTTATTATAATACATAATAGTATTCTGCCATTTTTGATTTGTTAATAGTTTTGAATGAACCATTATACTATTTAACTGTTTTAAAAATAAGGACCCAGTGTTAAATAAAAGCTTCTTAACATTTTTTACCTGCTGGTCCTTCTTTGCCGACTGGGCCGAGTTCTCCTTGTGGTCCTTGTATTCCTTTGGATCCAGGAACGCCTGGGGCTCCTGAAAGATTAAAAAAATAATCAAAAAAATTGGTTCGTAAAACGTAGCTTCAGGATAGCGTTAATCATTCAAGAAGGCGATAGTATTTCGTTATAGTAGAATAATCTTGAAGAAGACTGCCTCATATTTCAAGATTATATTTTGATATAACACATACAACCTGAAGAGGAATTTCATGAGACTTTTTTTTCCTAAAAAAACATTGATAAGAATCAAGTCTCACAGTAGAAACAAAACTAATTAGAAATGTGTAACTTTATACTTAATTTAAAACTTTTAAATAGATACATTCAACTATCTATCAAAAATATTCAATATTTAAGAAACATAATGTAAAAAGAAAGGAGACATCAAGAGGTAAACAGAAACAGTAGAACAAAAAGATGAAAACAAGTTAATATTTACCTGCATCGCCAGCGGGTCCAATTTCACCAAGGTCACCTTGTTCACCGGCTGGTCCTTGTGGGCCATAGGGTCCTGGTTGTCCGGGACCGCCAGCTTCACCTGGGGCGCCTGTTGAAGATTAACAATGAACATGTTAACATAACTGGTTACCTTTCATTTAGAACATTTAACCATAAACGACCATAAAATACAAATAAAAATCCCATTCTTCAACATAAATATCCTCATTTTAGTACATTGATTAAAGAGCCTCCTCATGGAATTTTTGATTATGTGATTACTTGGCCGTTTTTATAGTGATTAGTTGATTACCAGACCAAAGATTTCATGATTATTTGATTATTTGATTATTTGATAATCTAGGACTGTATTTTTGATTATTTGATTATCTTGTTTAAAAAGATAATTAGTGATTATGTGATTATATTGGCAAAACATTTGTGATTATGTGATTACTTGGACACCCCCATGAAGGGCCTCAATAAAGATATGACTTGGTTTTACAGCTTTTGATTTGAGAACGTGACAAACATAAGATTCGAAGATTTATTATAAACAATATTGAAACTACTGTTTTTCGAACATGTAGATAATATTAATGACAATTGATCTTTGAAACAGTTCTATGTGGACCTTTAACTTATTCATATTCTATGTCTTGATCTCTTAAATACAAGATACCTTTTTGATACAAGAAAATCATTTTCGTTTGAACTACATTTGTATCTGCTTTCAATGCACATACTCTTACTTCACCTATCCACCCCTGTCTAGATTCTAAGGTTTCATTGGTGTTAGACGAGGATCAAACTATGTACATGGATTTCTATCTCTTTTTTGTATATATTTCATATTTCGTAAATGTAGTAGAAGAATTTTCATACATCGGTTCAGTGGTTAGTGAAGTGCTTTTGTGGTTTTTTAAATTGTTAATACGACGACGAGGTTTTTTTTAACGATCTTGACTACTCATGAAGGTCTCGCACGGTCAGTAAAATTGTTAATATGAATACATTTTGAATCATTTATTCTCTTTCTGGTGGACCGATCTCATAATGAGGCCGAGGCTTGTTTATTACATTATTTGCAATGTTTTAGTTTTTGGTTTAAGGTTCGTTCTGTTAATCAACAAATGGGAACACAGAGACTTTTAACGCAGTTTGACTGGGTTATGGTAGATAACTCTTGAACTCATTTATGCGTTTGTTACAGACAGTTTTAAATGAATATTTTACATACCTTTGTCCCCGACTTCTCCTTCTGGTCCTGTAATACACAAAATATACAAATTGTAAGCAAATACACAGTTTAACCCCACGGTATTATTGCGCATGTCCCAAGTCAGGAACCTCTAGCCTTTGTTAGTCTTGTATTTTTTTGAATTTTGGTTCATTTATATGTTTTGGAGTTTACTGTGACGTCCATTTTCGCTGAACTAGTATACATGCTTATTTAGAGGCCAGATGAAGCCCGCCTTCGGGTGCGAGATTTCCTCGCTGTGTTGAAGACCAATTGGTGGCCTTGGGCTGTTTTCATTTCTCTTTGGTCGGGTTGTCTCTTTGACGCCTTCCCCGTTTCCATTTTAAATTTTATCTTTATTGCTTTCTCTAACTTTATCAAGATTTGAAATAATAATACATTTAAAAATTTCTTTTTCACATTCCATTCTACCAAATATTCTTAAAATGTTCATAAATTGCAATACTTTTTTTATACTTCATCTTTAAGGAACCTGGACAATTTATCAATTAAAATTTTACTAATTTTACAAAACTATCCTACATTTTCAATGGATAAGGAAAATAATTTATAAACGCTTCATTTGATAAATACAGAAAGTCGTTTATACAGTTGTACATTACATATTGAAAAAAAGACCTTCCATTTTTTTATAATTAGGATTCACTGTGTAGTAGCTTGGTAGAAACTTTTCCCTTAAATCAACAAAACTTTGGTTAGTACATTCAAATACCAAATGAAATTCATCACCAATATTACTCCTTCACAAAGTACATATTCTATCATGCCTCGGTATATTTTGCCATCTGCCTGCAAATTCAAAGATAACAAATAATGGTAGTAAATAATTCTAACCTTGTGGACCAGGATTTCCTCGGGGTCCTCCATGACCTGGTAAACCATCAGCTCCCTTTGATCCAGGTTCTCCTTCAGCTCCTGGGTCTCCGTCTTCTCCGGGTGATCCCTTTGCTCCTTGTGGTCCGTTTGGTCCTTAACGAAAAAATTAAGACTAAATAAACGCGTTACGGAAGTTAACAAAAACAAAAAAGAGAAAATGTTTCATACTTTGTTAAAATTGACGTTCGTATTGTTGTGTACGAAAAAACCCCAAAAAAACTCGCAATACAAACTACCGGTCATCGACCATGTTTTAAAGCTACAGGATACCCATTTTATAGGGTTATACAATTTAAAATCATTATTATGTGCCAATTTAGAAAACGTAAATGAGGGAATTCTGAAACAAAACAAGAGAGGAAATCATATCACATGCTTACGAAAATCAAAAGAATACATGGTGTCACCATACTTTTTTGTGTGCTACATAACACAATGAATATCTTTTATAAGGGTCTGGATGAGGGTTCCTTCCTTTCTGTATTCTTTAATTTTTTTAGGCCATTTTCCTCTATTCTTTATACCTTTAACCCATTATTTTCTATTCTTTATATTTTAGCACCTCATTATTCTCTATACTTTATTTTTTTGCTCCATTTTGCTCTATTCTTTATATTTTTTGCCCATTATTCTCTATTCTGTAAACCCAAATCCACACCCTCTTTTATAACGTTTAATTATCTGAATTCACTTCCGTCAGGAACATGACAATTATTTTCCATTCGTTTGATGTGTTTGAGCTTTTGATTTTGCTATTTGATAAGGGACGCTCCGTTGAAAATTTCCTTGGAGTTCGTTTTTTTTTTTTAATTTTTGTTGTTTTACTTTTTTGGTCAATGAAATAAATAAATTACAACCTATGGGACAATCGCAAATCATTAAACAAACAAACCCTGAAAAAGTACATATCATTTAAGCATACAATAGTTGCAACAGAGTGGTAGGTTGTGTTCTTGCTGACAGCTGTATGATTTCAGTATAACCTTTAGTTATAACACAATTGAATACTTAATTTGTAGACAGTCTTTTACCTTTTGGCCCTGGTCCACCTGGTTTGCCCTCTGGTCCTTCTGGTCCAACATCGCCTGGTGCTCCTTTGTCTCCTGTGGGTCCCTTTCCTCCAGCTGGTCCCATTGGGCCTTTAAAAACAAATATTAATTCAGAATGCAACCGCTTAATTTTACACTTGTTGCGAATATAAACTATTAATTGTTGCAATAAATGTAATAATATGTACGTCTGGAGATTAAAAAGATAAAAAAAATACTCCCTGCTAAAATAAATGACGTCGTTTTCAATAGAAAAATGTATAGCATTATTATAAGTCCGTATGATTGATTTGGACATATATACATTTGCTTACATCCACATACCACATCTCCTTATTAGTTTTTAATTTTTCATGTGCAATATTTGGGAAGCAATACGTTATATTTTGTTAGTTTTTAACTGACATTGTCTTGTATACATAAGTATGTAATAAGTAACTTTTCTTGGACAATGTTATGTTTCTCTTATCCATAAAGTAGCATTCAAAAGATGTGTTACTAATTAAATTTTACCTCTATTTCCTGCTGGTCCATCGGCACCTGTAATAACAGATAAGAAATGAATAGATTGCAGTAATATAATAGAATATCGTCAGAAACGAGAGGTATCATCCTGTCTTCAACCTGGATATCGGTGACGATTCCCACTCTTTTATGTAATGCAGCTTTTTCACTAAATTTTACATAATTTTTGTGGTAATGAAAAAAAATTTCCACAACAAGTTACAATTTTGTCTAGATATGCAATGTCTATATTTACCATTACATGTAATGATAATTCAAAAATGGGAATAATACATCTGTTGAACTTTTTAAACCCGTCCATGCGTACTCCAACATTAACATGTTTTATCATTGTGTATGTGTAAGAGTGAGTTCTTTTCACATCGAGCAGTCTGTTCCTATGATAGGGATGTTGGTTGAATCAATTGCTTCAATCGATTCATTTTATGGATTTTTCACAGAAATAACCAAAGACACCAGACTACAATTTAATAAGCAAGACGTTCACCTACACAAGACTTATCGGTAGCGCTCGATTAAAAAAGTGGGAACAACATCAAGTCTTAAATAAAAACAATCCAACAAGCCAAAAATAAATAGTTAAAAGAACATTGAAAAAAATCCATAATGTTTAGCAAAAACAGAACAAGGCAATTTATGTCTGGGGATAGGCAAAGTTATTGTTCTTGACGGTTTTAGCAATAAATGAATAGTACGTTTGAAGAAAATTACCGCAATAATGAACCAGTGTATTATATTGATATACGACTCCGTAGTAATTGTTGATGTACTTTTTTTCTAATTTGATGTTATTCAAATACATAAATACAATTGAAGACTTACCGGGTTTACCAGGTGCTCCCTGGGCTCCATCTGGTCCTTTTGGTCCTGGTAGTCCTGCAAAACAATGTTGTGAAATTTACCTTATTCTGTAGAGATTTGAGGCAACAGTGAATTTACCTTATTCTGTAGAGATTTCCATATTGAGGCAACAGTAAATTGACCTTATTCTGTAGAGATTTCCATATTGAAGCAACAGTAAATTTACCTTATTCTGTAGAGATTTCCATATTGAAGCAACAGTAAATTTACCTTATTCTGTAAAGATTTCCATATTGAGACAACAGTAATCAACCGATGTTCAAATCTTATAAATCGATTAGGAAGATACAAATCAAGGTAACCAGCATACATTGAGGATATTGTATGAACTTCTAAAATGAGCGATTCAAAAGTAAGTTAATTAGTTAGATAATATTATATTGATTGATTGACTGTTGGTTGCTTAACGTCCAGTGGCAAATACTTCATGCATGTTCAGGACGAGAACAAGTTAACAAAAAATACAATCGGTAGGTCCTGTAATAGAAAATTTAGACTGCCATGAGGAAATGAGGGTATATTGGTTAAGGACAGAAATTTAGCCTTGTAAAAGGCCACCTACGGACCCCTCAAAGAGTTGTTGCAAGGGTTCTTAACGTGTAAAGAACGTGGCACTCTCTTTACACGAGGCATCGGATTTAACGTCCCCATTCTGACCGGACGTGACTGCGAACTTGTACATCCCGCACAGCCAAACGGACGCCCCGCTCCAGCGAGGGTTTTACCGCCGGTCGGAGGAAGATCAATGGTGACCATACTTCTATTCCCCAGTCACCCTTGGGGGTAGATAATATTATACATTATCATATCTATTGAAGGAACGATATGAAAGTCTTCCTTTTAAACTACATACCCATTACAATTTTTCATGTTATGAAAACAAATAATCTTTGAATTGTATAGCTTTTAATTTATTAGCACATGTAGCAATAAATGCAAATAATATTGCAATTTACCTTTACATCCGGGTCTGCCTTGTATACCACGTGGTCCGGCATTTCCTTGTGGACCTAAAATGTAACATTTAGACACCATAAGAAATGTAATGAACTCCTTCTTTTTATGTAGGCACAATACACAACAGTTATAAGAATAAAGCAAAATTTGTTATACATTTATTTCTTATAGGATCTGTGAACTTGATTACCTTGGAAACCAGATTTGTCATGAAACTACGAGAATTTGCAATCGAACAAATAATGTTTTCACAGTACTTACAAAACTCATCAAATATATCAATATAATAATTGTGTACGTTAGACGCGCATTTCGTCTACAAAAGACTTATAAGTGTTGCTCAAATTGAACAAGTTAATGGCCCCCAAAAATACGAAGTTAAAGAGCATTACGGATCCGGAATTACGAAAGGTTTTGCCGAATACAGCAAATGTAATCTATTCCTGGGGTTACATATAAGCATTATGTTAGTTTAAATAATAAGTTTTACCTTGTTCTCCAGGTCCTCCGACGTTTCCTACGCTTCCTGCTTGTCCTGTTGATCCTATAAACAAATTATGAAAAAAACCATTAAAGCTCGTTTTGACAAAATATCTGAAAAGTCAAAATTTCATAACCTGATAACAACAATGCAATTGTGCTACATATACGTTTACGCTAATCGGTACTACACAGAGTGAGCTATTCAGTTAATCGTCACTTACCTTCAGTATGTTGTCAAGATTGTGAATATAAGTAACAAGTAATGTGTGGTATACATAGTTGTGTATGTCTGTTTTTGTTGTTGTTAATTTAATCTTGATATACACTATTTTCGTGTAAATTATAAATATGTTTTCTTATATTCTATGAACTGAACTAACTAAATAAAATGAAGACAAAATAAAGTAAAAAGGTACTACCTGGTGCGCCTGGTGCGCCTGGGTTTCCTGGGGAGCCAGGTTGTCCTGCACTACCTTGTTGTCCAGGTGAGCCGGGTTGGCCTGAAAATTATAAAATTATTAACGCGTTTGCTATGTAAAACGTCGTCTTTTTATTAAATTTTCGTAGAGATTGAGAAAACACTCCTACATTTAAGCAAAATGAACTTATCTAACAGGACTTATTCTTAATTGCAAAACACTACATATTAATGAATTTAAAAGATACGTTTCACAAATAATGCACGTAATTGAACTAGAAAAATTACTTCATTTATGAAACAGATAAAAAAATATAAAGATAAGCAACTTGAATGCAATACTGTGAAAGTAATTTGTGATTTTTAGTTGTTATGTAGTTTATCAAATGGATAACAATAAATAGACATTGTCCCGAAACTGTGAACATTTTATCGTAATGTCACGTGGTGTTTGCCTGATTTCTACATGGAATATCTAATTCAACTTACCTAAACCTCCTTGTGCTCCTTGATGTCCTACAATATTTAAATTGAACTTTGAACTACGATCACATCAAATTCATCTTAATATTTCTGTTTCAGAATCTAATCGGTTATGGGTAATTGTAATATATCTAAATCAAAATGAACATATCGTTATGCTATTGGTTGAATGTTGATTGTTGTAGGCATTATGAATCAATCAAAACGTTTTGGTTAATGTTTTGAAAAAAAATACTTAAATTACACCCTAAAACGGCAATTTGACATTTTACAATATGGAAAATAAAGTTATTTTAATGAATCTATAAATGTTATAACCAATATGGTGATATTGATATTTTGACAAACTAAACTCACTTCTAAAAAATTGTTTTCTTCCAAAAGCAAAACGTAAGAGAGCAGAGTTGCCATTGCAATGAAAGCTTGCTTGTTGTGTTTTTGAGAAAGACACGAAGGCCATACGTCAACATAATATCTATTCTTTGTCAAAAAAGGTTTTTGAATACCTGATATTCAAATTTAATATCATCAATATGCATAATGTTTTCTGACACTACTAATTGATGTATAAATGCTGTATGATAAACATACCTGCAGCTCCGGATGGTCCTCTTGCTCCTGGTGCTCCAGCCTGGCCAGGTGCACCTTAAGAAAATAATGAAAATTAACGTAATTATTTTCAAAGAATCAAACAATAGAATTGAATAGCCATACCTCCATCCAAAGCTTGAGAAGTTCTTTATCCCTTAGCTAGTTTAATTTCTCACTTTAACTTATCTAATCATGCTTATTGCCAAAAAAAGTGAAAAGATACTTTTAGCGTCAGCTTATAAAGGAAGATATGTAGAAGTGATTTGCAAAATGGAAAGATATAAATCATTTTGAAAATATATGTTCTGACATATTTTACACAGCTCTTTAAAGACATGTTTCTATATTGTAGAAATTCAACTTATAAAATTAAATTTAAAATGTACTGAATCAATGCCCCCTAGCTCCTGTATAGGAACATGTTTTATCCGTAAATATAACTCCCATGTTCTGCTACGTACCTGGTTGACCTGGTGCTCCTGCATTTCCGGGTTGTCCTGGGTTACCATTGGCTCCTTGTTCACCTTCAAAGCAACATTATGAATTCATTTAAAAAACAGAAACAAAACATTTTATAATTAAGGGTATATATCAATCTGTAAAGCCTTAATGTTTCTACTTTGAATAAAAATTATTCGGCCTACTGTTTGAAAACCTGTACAGTGCAACATACATTGTTATATCTATTAATGACTTTTTTCACAGGCTTAAATAAAATATGCAAGTATATAGAAGAGTAAAAATTGTCAGAATTTTCAAGTTTTTATCCTAACTTCAAATTATATCCCTACTTTCTTCTGCAAAATAACACCTTAATAAAACACCAATAGAACGCAATTCTCATGAAATTTTGAACCAACCAAGTAGATATTCGCACCATAATGCACAATGCTTTTAAGTGTTTGTCCTGCGACTCAAAGTTAGACTTTCAGTGTGAAAGTTTGTTTTTGTCTAAGAGATGTATCTTTATTTAAGCCTTGATGTTACATTTATTTCGTTATATGGATGGATTCTGATTGTTTTTTTATAATGTCTTTACATATTTTTACATTAACACTTATTCTACACAATGATATTAGATAATTACAGAAGTTCCATACCTGGCTGGCCTGGAGCGCCTCGGGAACCTTGTGGTCCTTGTGGTGAGTTTCCTGGTGGTCCTGGTGGTCCTAAAATCAAAATTAATCTGATAAAGTAGTCGGCCTGATCGAGCAAATTATTAAAAAAACAGAAATATATATTTCCAATAAAATTTCCGAAAAAGATAAGTGTGTCTTTCAAAAATTAATTTATAGAGGTAAAGCTTTGTTTGAAATCATTCTAATATGTTTAAAGCATGTCCGTTATCGTGAGAACTTAGTTACACATGATTGCAAGAATTTTGCAATGACACACTTCTTAATGTACTGTTTTTAAAATAATGTATACGTTTCCTGTAGATGCCCTTTTTGTTAGAGCACAGTGACAACCATGATTGAGAATTGAGAATTGGCGAAAAAAAAAAAAAAAAAAAAATTGAAAACAAATTCCAATGAAAAATTAAAAAACTTAAGTGCTAATCTGCCTAAGAATCAGGCAATGGTGAAAACACGACAAACAAAAACCTACTCAATTTTACATTGATTTAAGTTCAGAATGTATAATGGTGCTGGAATATAGCATTCGTTTCCTATTCCTGTTCAAGAAACAATTTGGTTGAAATGCACTAGAAATTAACAATTAAAGGGAGATAACTCCGTAATTTGCTACCATTATAACCAAAAGTTATCTTGATATTTTTCGAATTGCCAGACACGCAGAAACGAAAAACCTACCATTTCTAACTCAGGATGAGGGTAACTTCGAAATTGGATGGTGGTTTTTTTTCGGCCATGTTTTGAAATTCTTTTAAATTGCCTGATTCTTACAAAGACTGGCACATAAATAAATTCTTACCACTCTCTCCTTGGTCACCGGGTGCTCCGGCTGGTCCTGAGAAAAAAATAACAAATATCAAGTAACTGCTGATCATGGATTCGCATTATTATTTGAAAAAATAATGTGACAAATGAGCTTCCTCGGATATTTACATTATTAAATTATTTTCAGAACTTGGAAAAAACTTATCATAGATACCAGGATTGAAATTTTGTATTTGCGACAGACGCGCGTTTCGTCTACAAAAAACTCATCAGTGATGCTCGAATAAAAAAAAGTAAAAAGGCCAAATAAAGTACGAAGTTGAAGAGCATTGAGGACCAAAAATTCCTAAAAGTTTTGCCAAATACAGCAAAGATAATCTATTCCTGAGCTAGAAAAGCCTTAGTATTGAAGTGTCTTCGGATAATTTTATATGGAAAAGTATTGATATGTGCAATGTTTAATAAACTTATCATGTCGGAAGAAACGGTGGAATCGATAATTGATCATTAAAATTACACTCCGGTCGCAAAGTTAAGGCCACAAATATATCTTATTCAAAGTTTGGAAATCAAATGAGATATTTGTTTGTTGATTGCAAAATCATATCTAAGGCAAAATTTATCGTCTGTTATCTCTAATGAAGGAAATATATTATGTCACGTGACGATTAGAACAAATCTGCAATGCATTTGATTGTACCAACATGGTATCCAAAAATTTGAGGTTTCACTAGTAAATGAATTGTAGTCTTAATCAGTAATTTTGTCTCAAACTCAACACGTAAAGTCTTGTTGAAAGTTAAGTTCATTTAAAAAAAAAATTTCTTGTTGCAAACATCGTACTGTTAAGACAGTTTGCTTGGAGTCAATTCAGTACTGTTCAGTACCTTTTCAAATAATTCAGTGTGTACAGATAAACAACATCTACTGAACAGTCTATTAATAGATTGACTGCAACATAATTCTCTAATCAGTACTTAATTTACAGTGATGGATAAGTCAGAAACTTGACTGAAAGACTGAACCTGAATTTATAATTTATTGTTCGGTTCAGATCAAAATAATCGTTTCTGTTCAGTGTTTTACTAGTGTTGTATAGTATTATTTTTGTCCATGCCACCTAGCAAACAAACACAGTTGACGTCATTGTTCTTTATTCACATCTAAGTGTACATGCTGTGATAAAGATACGGGACGAAAAAGTGATTTTTACCTCTTGGACCTTGTGGTCCTTGTGCTCCTGGAAGTGGGAATCCGCCGCCACCAGCTAAAAAGACACAATATAACTGTTAACAATACTCTTTTAAATCTCAGTCTAATATGAAAATGTAGTCTTTCAAGTTAGTTGTAAGAACAACATAAAATTGTTTAATAACATAGAAGAAGTATAACATTAACTGATAAATATTATTTTTATGAATATTTACCGTCCTTGTCACGTGGATGATACATATTTGAATGCACGTACGTATTTGAGGTATGAAATTGCGATCGAAATGAGAAAATTGTTACGATTGATCTGAAATAAATTGGTCAAATAATTTGATCAAATATTACAATATTTTTCTGCCTTATTTTTATATAGAATCCCGAGCTCCATGAAAACGGTCATGTCTTTATGATATAATTGGAAAAAAATACATACTTGCAAATGCTCCTGCACTAGCACTAGCACCAGCTCCACCTGGTCCGCCAACTGCACCTGTACAACGGGAAAGAACAAAACAATGACGCGTACTGGTATGCTATAAAATACAGAAATCAATTCCTTTTACCCCTTTTTTGACTGCTCCTACTGTTTATTTTTTTCTGTAGTTTAAATGTATGATGTATAATATGATATATTTTGTAGTAAAAAACCCGGATTGTTTTATTAAAAAAAAACAACATAAAAAGCAGGTTTCATCAAATGTTCCATTTGCCTCTGTATAATAAATTACATGTTATATAAAAAATATTAATCGCATTCTTTAAAAAAGTTCACAAAAAAACAACAACAACAAAACAGTGTAAATTACTACCCTTTGAAATCAGATTCAATGCCCAGAACACAATAATATATCATTTTTGATTATTATGTTTATTTTCTAATAAAACGGAACGAGATTAACCAAAATTAAATTATGCCTAGATATAGGAATAGTTTCTGTTAAGGCTTAATCATAAAAAAATACTACCTCAATGTTAATGTCTCAAATAAGCAGTAGATTAGATTAGTAAAAAAAAAAAAAAAACAGTAGTCTTATGTTCTGCGTTATTGCAATTCTCACAGTGCATGTAATGAACAATATTTGTGTAGAACTGTAATTATGACATTTACTAACCTCCGGTTCCAAATGCACCTGCACCACCACCAGGGCCTAAGGCGCCACCCGGTCCAAACAATCCTCCTACAATAGACAAAAATCGTAAATCACAATGCCTTAAGAACAGTCACAATTTACAGTAATATGTCAACGTTGTTCGAATAAAAAACTACACATTGAAGTTTCAACATTGTTCGGTAAACTGTATAAATGATGTGTCAATAATGTTCGGTAAATTTGTTTAATGATTAATCAATATTGTATGGTAAAAATAAACAGTGACGATTACGTATTACCATTGTACGAAAACCTATATAATGATGTAGCAACAATTTACTGTAAAAGCGATGTATCAATGCTGCACGGTAAAACGTTATCAAGATGTAGCAATATTGTTCTATAAACTAAACATTGAATGTATCGAAATTGTACGGTTAAACTATTGAATGATGTATCAACTTCGTACCGTGAAAAACAGTGGTGCATTACAATGTGGTGCATTACCATTGTAATGCAACACTATACATGGTGTGACAACGTTGTACGGTTACTGGTAAAATTATACAATGATGTATCAACACTGTACGTTACGGGTAATAGAGAGGATACCAAAGGGTCTTCAAACTCGCAAGTCGTAAAACGATCCAATAATGAAAAATGTAGGGTAAAGATACAAAATTTTGTATTAATGTTTAAGATTATAATTTAGTAGGAGTATCGAAAAGGAGGACCTTGATTTTTAACCACGTGTTAGTGTAAGGGCTACATAGACTTATCCATCAAATTTATTTGTTTAATATTTTCTTTTTGAGAAAACCGAACTGCTTCCATTTCCCTCTGTGTGTTTGATGTTTTGTACTAGTAATTAAGTTTTAAATGAATTTTTAGTTACAATTCGTTAAAAAGTTATTTAACTGAAAAATCCATTCTTACATGGGTAAACATTTGAATATTTTTCTATGAAATTCCTGACCATTTCTACCGATTAACTTTTAAGTTTGTGCTTTCAGTCCTTATATTTTCTTTCTTTGTTATCTAATAGTATTTAAATTTTTTTAGTAAATAATTTTTATTTGTGTATATCCATTCAATGTGCGTTTAAAAAAAAATTGAATATTTACCAGGTCCGCCTCCATTTCCGCCAGGTCCGACTCCAATTCCGCCAGGTCCGATTCCAAATCCGCCAGGTCCTCCTCCAAGTCCACCAGGTCCTCCGCCAAGTCCGCCAGGTCCTCCTCCAATTCCGCCAATTCCACCAGGTCCTCCTCCTAGACCACCAAGACCTCCAAAACTACCACCGCCTCCTCCTGTAAGTATACAACATTGTTTAAAAATAAGATAAATTTTGAGGATTTAGATGTGCGTTTAGATGTTTCTTCATGTGAAAAAGATTTCTAATTTGTAAATCGTTATTTTTGGTTATAATATTCCTCACACGTCAGCGCCATTATTTGCTTAAATATCAGGAGCACATGTTGAAGGGTTCGTGTTGCTCATACTTTAGTGTTGTGTTAAGTGTGTAAAAATTATTGTTCATTTGTTTGTCGTTTTTCTTTTTATTCATTGTATTGTCTGTTTTTTCGACTTTTTTCTTTGTGCTGTATTTCTGTCACATAGTGTTTTAGCGATACTTTTTAACATTGTCATAAAGCGGGAGGTTTGGCATGCCATGAAACCAGGTTAAACGCCCCTTAAAATGTCCTGTACCAAGTCAGGAATATGGCAGTTGTTATCAGATAGTTCGTTTTTACCGTTTGTTGGCGTTTGTTTTTGTTGCACTTTGGTGTTCCTGTTGTTCCTTTGTTTTCCTCTTATAGTTAATGTGTTTCCCTCGGTTTTGGTTTGTAACCCGGATTTGTTTTCTCTAAAACGATTTATGACTTTTGAACACCGGTATACTACTGTTGCCTTTATTTACAAATATTAAATTTCACACACATCAAAAATCAGTTATGAAATATTTATTTTGATTTGATGGTTCTCCTTAATGAACCCTGTAATTTTAAATAAACTTCTTTTTACCAAGATCTATAAAAAGATTTTAAATTTTAAAACCTTCTATAATTAGCATAACCATACCTAGAGCACTTGCAGCGGCTGCGGCACGGGCGGCTGCTGAAGCACTTCCTCCACCAACTCCACCTTGAAATATAATAATTCAAATATCATTCTAACAATGTCAAACATTTTCCCATTAAGACGATAAAGATTATATGAAGATTGAACTATTATTCTAACAATTTCATAATGTTACCTTTAAAAATATAATATTTCAAACGTAGATCTAATAGGGCAAAATAATTTACCATCAACATTATAAAGATTGAACTATTAGTCTTCCGATTTTAAAATGTTACCATAAAACATATTATCATTCAATATCATTCTAATAAACATACCTAGAGCACGTGCAGCTGCTGCGGCTTGGGCTGCTGCTGAAGCACTTCCTCCACCACCTCCACCTTGAAATACAATTATTCAAATATCATTCTAACAATGTCAAACATTTTCCCATTAGGACGATAAAGATTATATGAAGATTGAACTATTATTCTAACAATTTCATAATGTTACCTTTAAAAATATAATATTTCAAACGTAGATCTAATAGGGCAAAACAATTACCATCAAAATTATAAAGATTGAACTTTTAGTCTTACGATTTTAAAATGTTACCATAACACATATTATCATTCAAATATCATTCTAATAAACATACCTAGAGCACGTGCAGCGGCTGCGGCACGGGCTGCTGCAGAAGCACTTCCTCCTCCACCACCACCTTGATATATAATAATTCAAATATCATTCTAACAATGTCAAACATTTTCCCGTTAAAACCATAAAAATTGTATAAAGATTAAACTATTTTTTATTAACAATTTCAAAATACTACTATTAAAAATATAATATTTCATAGCACAACAATTTTACCATTAAAATTATAAAGATTGAACTATTGTTCTTACGATTTTAAAATGTTACCACACCAAATATTATGATTCAAATATCATTCTAATAAACATACCTAGAGCACGTGCAGCGGCTGCGGCTTGGGCTGCTGCTGAAGCACTTCCTCCACCACCACCTTGAAATATAATAATTCAAATATCATTATAATAATGTCAAACATTTTTCCGTTAAAATTATAAAGACTGTATAAAGATTGAACTATTATTGTAACAAATTTAAAATGTCACCATTAAAAATATAATGAGTCAAATATAATAATGATAGGGCAAACATTTTACCTTTAAAGTTAAAAAGATTGAACTACTATTGTATCAATTTCAAAATGTTACTATTAAAAATATAATGATTCAATCATAATTCTTATAGGGCAAACATTATATCATTAAAATTAAAAGATCGAACTAATATTCTTGCGATGTTAAAATGTTACCACGACAATTATTATGATTCAAATATAATTATAATAAAGCAAACATTTCACCAATAAAATGATAAAATGATAAAGATTTAACTATTTTTTATACCATTTCAAAATTTAACCATGAAATATAAATTTGAAATTAAATGATTTGCAACGTATGTTTCCGATATTTGTGGTTGAAATGTGCAACGTAATCCATAATCATAATAGGCAAAAAAAAAAAGTACAAAACTAAATATTTAATAGAATTCTAAAGATTTATCGTCAAATATTAGTTTTTGAAATTTTGTTTTTGAAAAATTGATCTACTTATGTGTTCCATACAGAAAGACATAACCTCTATTATAAAGAATCGACTCTTTTTTACAGCACGTTATATGAGAATCATTTTGATAAAGCTAAACCACGTGAAATAATCGTTAATATTGAGTATACATTTTGCATGCTTTAAGTAAAGTCAGAACCATATATTCTCTTTCTTCTTGTAGTGAATTCACACCTATATTTCAACCTAAAGGAACACACAATGCATTATTCAATTACTTTTTCTTCACTACTTATACATATTCAAGCTGCTTTACTGTACTTGATTGACTGAAAGCAAAATATCTGAATAGTGCTAAATTTACTACAAGATGATATATTGACAATACATTAAATTCTTCACATTATTTAACATTTTTAGGTTTAATCGTCCAGATGATATTGAGAACAAAATGGCAGTTAAAGACCCATTTGATAGATTAGTATACCACATGAGCAACGATAGCAGTGCAACGCATGTTTGCAAATACAGCTAAGTAGCAACGCTTTATGCTAAGCTAGTGACATTAACCATCAAGAGTAAATTCAAAATGCTCTCTTGACAGTATTAAACTCATTACCTCTGTGTCCGTGTCCACCGCCATGACCTCCATGACCTCCGTGGCCGTTAAAGAAATCTGTAAGAATGAGGGACCGTATAGAAATGTTTTTTGAATAGAAAATTAAAAAAAAATTAACAGTTGATTTGACTTAGTCCTGAAGCTAATGATTTATGAAAGTGCATGACGAAAACTAAGTGATAATAAATATGAAAATCTGACTCTGCAAAATGAATCGAACAGGTTAACAGTAGGGAAACGAGATAAATGTTGAATGCAGGAAGAATTGTTCTCTTAAAAAAGGCCACATAAGGACCCCTCAAATTTGTTTCAAAAGAAGTCGGCACTGTACTACATATGGCACTATGCAGATAAACAACGCGTAATATAAGACACAAAGTAAATGTTGACACTTATATATATTTTATTTGATCAAACTTTCAAAGTACTAGTATTATCCTTTGAAAAGAGCATTATAAAATACACTTAAAATAACACGAATAGTTCAGATTGTTCTCTGGTAGCTTCGTAAAGGTCAATGTCATCGAAATTACATGACAAACTGTTAAAATACAAAATATCTTCCTTACAACAAGGTTGATTTTAATATAATTATTTTCTGAATGTAGTTAGAAATTAAAACTTTTAGAAAAACTGAGATATGATTAATAAGGAAGTACATATATTGTATGCACATGCGCATAAAATATTGATTGTATGGTTTCGTGGCCATAGATAGTGCGCGCAAAATATTAAATTATATATAGCACGCACAAACTATCATAATGTGCAAACAAAAGGATAATATTTCGCAAATGTTTTTCTAACCAAAACATTATGTTAGTATTCTAAATGAAGTAATTTTTTATTTAGGTAAGACGTCTAAAACTTTGTACTGATATAACGTTAGACTACATACGTCGTTAAATAATGCAACATTGAAAAAACAATCTTTTATACAAAAAAGCTTAAATTCTGTTCAGCGAATTAATATACCAGTATACATGATTGCATATATTAATACGAAAGAATTTTCTTCGTAATCAGCAAAATAGAAATGTTAGTGAACTTTAGAGCATGTCTTTCATATGTTAAAATAAAATCCGATTTGCATTAGATGATATTTGCCACTCACATGCTACTTAATATTTATCCTTTTTGTTCCTATAGAATTTTGTACGATAACATGTAAATACATAGTCCCTTAAAATTAATCATAGTTTAACCTCACACAGTGTTATGATGCCTGCATGTGTTTTGCGCTAATGCAACGTTATTAAAATACCATCATATTTGCTGCAATTTGCATAATATGAATTCATGTAATACGTGTTCATGTGTCATATACGATATATATAGATGTGGATATAGTGTAATATATTGTTTAATTGATGGTAGATATATATGATATAGTTCGATATATATATATACATATATATGTGGTTTTTATTTCTATACCTCCTCCAGAAACAAGCTCTACACCGGGCAATATTTCTGTAACTGAGTAATAATATCAAGAATAAAATTTTCAACTTCAACATTAGTTTCCTGACAATTGTATTTGTTTCATTATAATTGTATTTTCAACGTTATAAGTATATTATTGACAGCATAATTGTATCTGTTACGTCATGATAGTATATGTTACGTCATAAGTGTACCTCTTCATATCTACGATAAGAGATAATATAATTTCAATGTTAATTTTGCATTTACAAAAATATTATGCATCACCAATTTAATCAAAACTTGAAATATTTTTCATTAGTAAATTTTAATAAAACGCTAGCAATATGAAGTTTGGTAGTAAAAACCAAATATTTAACATTTGATACAATATCAAAGAGATTGAGAGAACATATAACACAAAATATAGTAAAGCCTACTATAAAAAAGACGATTTAATTATAACGTACCTCCACCACCACCGTATCCTAAAATAAAGGAATGTAAATATATAAACTATTTTTCTGTTGTTAAATACTTTAAGTAATACATTTTTTTTTATCTTTGGAAAAATTAAAATCTGATTGAAAAAGTTGCTGATCAATTAAATAATTCATTTAATTCATTCAATTTTTGGAGAAAATCAATTGCATCTATTTTTCAATGATTAATTTAAAAGATAATAACTTACCGGGTTTGCCATATCCTGTTGAAAAAACAAAACAAAATAACAGTTGTTAAACAGGTGTATCTAACATGTCATGTATATGATAAACGATGCTGTACGTGTTTTTTTCTCTATTTATAATAACTGCTAAACTTTTATTTATATTCGAATAAATAATTTATAAAACACGGTGCATTTTGACTTCTTGTTTCCGACTCTCATTGTTGTAACTCACCTTGGTGTAGTTTAATACTTACTCAATTTCACATAACAATATGTGATGACATTAGGGACCGAATAAAGTAGCATAATAATATTTTTTGTTACCCAATAAACCTTCTGATACTAAAACACTTACATTCATTTTGAACGGAGTAAAATAATGCAGTTTATTTTCGACCAACCAAATTCCCAAGTTTATCTATTACAATTTTCAATATGATACTTAGGCAAACTGTAAGCATTTGCTTGACGATAAATCATTTGAATATTCCTTTTCTGTACGTATTGCATGTATTATGTGATTTGAATGCTAAAAATGTTAACGCAATGATCATATTCAACGGGTATATAATTGGAAAGATTTTGAATACCTATTTTACTTTTGCAAGGAAAACAATGGTTCTAATTAAATACTATTAAAAAAGGAAATAAAATTTCTTGGCAACAAACCTTCACATTTTCAGGTTAATATTTCATATGTTTATTATACATTTCTTTGATGTTATGAAAAAAAGCCTTACAGTACTGTTCAACAGCACCACCCCTTGCATCACGATATGAAAAATTGATAAAATAAGTGAAGATTAATCTTCTATAGATTGATGATTTACGAAAAAAAAAATTGCAAATAAAAAATGATACAAGATTTTTCGGAGTTTGATCATCTTTAGTTGGTAATGGTCTGTTGTATATTGACGTTCTTTATATACACATATTACACCATACTAGAGAATATTACTTCAATTTATTCGATCTATATTAAAACAGTTGTAATGAAAAACAAAATTAGAAAGGATAAACAAAACTCAATATTTGATCACGTGGACTAATTCCCATTAGCATAAATGCGTGTTAGCTTCCAGATGTGAAATAAACGAATATCTAAATAACAATTTAAGGAAGATTAGATGTTGAAAGTATAACCAACTGTAAATGATAAGTAGAATAAACGAGGTTTTGATTAGATACTTTGAAATGTGAATTAACTATTTTTTTAAGACTGGAAACATTTCACTAAAGCTATGAAACGAATTAGAAATATTCATTTAAAAACTTACTGATGCCACGATTAAAAGTTTTTAAAAGTTTGAAAAAAACCAATTGAATTAAACTGGATTTTAAAACACGTATATAGTAGTTGCACACTTTATATATTTCTTCATATAACTTGTAATATACTTTCCGAATTTTTTCACCAAAGATAACTTTATAGTTAAGGTCCATTTTAACAATTTGAATTAAAAGTAATCATTTAAAAAAAATTTAGTATATGCTATCTATTTAATGGGAAAATAATTATTGATTAGTAATAATCCATTAGATAATTGAATTAATCCGGATTAATATATCGGGACAATTCAGTGAAGCACTTTTCGTTGATGTCTGATACGACAACGTACCAATACCAGGCTTACCTTACATTATAGAATATAACAAAATCTGAAATTCCAAAAATATCATGATCTTACCGATGCTCCCGGCTAGTCCTGTGCGGGCGATAGCCGCTACTAGGAACACAGTCAGGAAATTATGGACCATTGTTCTGGTGTTCTTGTACGTATAATATTTTACAACTATCGCTTTTATACTTCGGTATGGTCACATGTTCTACTAAGAGCGTACAAATTGACTGCGTCTACAGTTAAGCAAGGAAGGGGGACATTTGGGACATGTCTAAAACAACATTTTTTAAACTCGCTATGTCTAACTGATATTGATACAGCACCTTCCTTGGTTCAAAACAAGTCCGGAAATATCTAGAAGTTGCCAAATTTTAGCCAAATTATGATTGAAATTTATTTTTATTTTGATTTTGTAACAAAATGTTAACCCTATCAATCCCTCACCGCGGCTTCTGATTATTAGGAATCACTTATTCATTTTTGCAACAGTTGGGAACAAAACTATATGTAAGATTTCTGCATAATTTAAGCCTAAGCTGCTATTCGGTGTTAGAAAAGATTTGTCGTAATTTGATTAATAATTGTTCACTTTTGTAGAAAACATTTAATTCATACAAAGTAGTTTAATAGGTCTATAATAAGGAGATACTTAAAATTGCTACATACTTGGCTTTTACAACTATTTTAGATTCTTATAAACGAAATACATATAAAAAATAAGTGTTGTTTGCAATGCATTTTATGCTTTGCACTCACATCTTAAATGAAGTGGGACTGCAACCTGTCGTTGAAGGGGTAACCTTGCCATGCAGTTATAAATGTTAGCACGCTACACATTTATATTAGTTGCAGTCAAACAAATTTATATTTATTATGTGATTATATTCAACTTTGAATTACTAATCTCAGGAATGACGATTAATATCTAATTAGTCAATCTTTAGTTTTCTATTTTGTGTTTTGTAGACTGATGTTTGTTTTTATGTTGTTTTGTTGCCATCACGAGTTGGTTGACCGCAATGGAATATCCGTTTCACAGATGACAGCGGATATGTTCAAATTGTCGTAACTAAAATCCTGTCTCCCCCTTTTTCCCCGGGTGTGACCTACCTAGTTAGACTTATTACCGGGTTTGTACTAACATGAGCATCACGACGGGTGCCACATGTGGAGCAGGATCTGCTTACCCTTCCGGGGCATTTGCGATAACCCCCAGTTTTTGGTGGGGTTCGTGTTGCTCAGTCTTTGGCTTTCTGTTGTGTTTTGTGTACTGTTGTTTGTCTGTTTGTCTTTTTCTTTTTTAGCCATGGCGTTGTCAGTTTGTTTTTGACTTGTGGGTTTGAATGTCCCTTTGGTATTTTTCGTCTCGTTTTCATTCTTTTGAAATAGCGTTATCAGTTTATCTTTGACTCATACACCATTTACATGATAATTGACAAGTAATAAAGAAAAAGAAAACGAAAGACTTCGGTTCTTAATAGAGATATTCAGGTTTATCAACATCTTAGGCGAACAACTTTACCAAATCATGACATGGATCTTTCTTTGCTGCTGTAAGTATCAGATCACTATTCTTTATTTCGGATAGCGAGATATTTACGATGTTCCTTAAATATTTCTTTGATATATAGTTATTGACTACTTTATGAAAACACTTAAAACATTTCGTATTTAGGAAGCACTTTTTGGGATTTACCTTCGTCTGGAATGTTCAAACCATTGATGTATTAGAACAAACGCGTTAAGCGTTATATGACCAACAGGGCCGAATTATTATTTGGTTAAATTTGCCTGAGAGATTTGGAACCTTAATTCAAACACCCTGAAGCAAAATGGTTTTAGCGGTGAAGTCGAATATACATTAAGATATTAGAAATGCTTACATGAGTTTCTTTAATACCATCTGCTTAAACTTTATAACGCTATCTAAACCGTCCACACTTCTCTGCTAAACAATAATGTTCTTCGTTCTAATACAAGAAAGAAGAGACCAAGGAGCAGTCAAAATTATAAATTTCATCAAAACAGACAACGTCATGCACTTACATGTAATAAACAACGAAAAGACATACAACAGTCCAGAAAACGGAACACTGAGAACTAAAAAAAAAAAAAAAAAAGAAACTGTTGTGTCCAATTGTTCAGGAACGGTAATACCCTAAATAGAGAAATCGTCTACATATTGGTTCTTATGCTAACAGAACAGGAATTGCCTACCCTTCCTGATTCATAATGCTTATTCTAAATTTTCCTGTGTAGTGTTCTTTGCACTTATGTTTCTGTTTTTAGCCTTTGTCTTTAAATGATGGTCTGTTTTCACCGACTTGTTGTCTTCTGGGGAACATTTTCCCTTAGTTGTTTTAGATGAAGAAAAACTTTTTTTGCGGAAAAAATAAACTTATTTCAAAATCAAATATATAACATTGTAAATTATCAAAATTCTGCCACTTTTAGATAATATACGTTTGTTGAATTCTGTGAATGTTTAGTCCCTAAAATAATTCGTATTTAATGGGTTTTCAAATATGTATATTGTCAGCTTAATTATTTTGGGCTGATACTGAAGGCAACAGTAGTATACCGCTGTTCAATAGTCATAATTTGATTAAGCAAAAACAAATCCGGGTAATGAACTAAAACCGAGGAAAACACATCAACTATAAGAGGAAAACAACGGAACAACATAAACACTGAACTACAAAAAAAGCAAACGCCAACATGCATAGAAACAACTGCCATATTTCTGACTTGGTACGAAACATTTTCAGAAAAAAATGGTGGGTTGAACCTGGTTGAATGGCTACCCAAACCTCCTGCTTATAATGCAATGTTAAAAATACCGCTAAAATGACAACACTACGTGACAGGAGTACTGTGCAAACAAACGCAAGAACACTCAGCACAGAGAAATACATACATAAATAATATAATAGTACACTATTAGTAGATACTAAACACACGTATAAAAGACAACAATAACTTAATTAAGGAAAATCGTTTGATATATTTCGCCTACGGATATACAGTAACTTTAACAGTACTAATTTCACTGTCTCAAATGCACATTTTGATAATAAATGTGTCATCAATGATGCTCGAAGACGAAATATTTGAAAATCAAAATCTAATTAAAAGATTGAAGAGCTGATAAACCGAAAAGGGGGGAAAATAAGTCTAACCAAAGCTGAGCAAACATTTTCACAACGTTCTTTCACTCAATGATAAGATATTATAAGGTGATTATTCGGAAACTTATATAAAGTCTATGCAAATCCGAGCTCATTCATTTTCATGTGTTATTTGCTATACTTTCAATAAGTTGAAAGAAAACAATAGCGAACATTTTGAATGCTATTTAAAATGCAAAACTTTTTAAATTCTTTAATTCTTTAACAAATGTTAAAGAGAAATAGATATAATGATATTGTATGAACATCTAAAGGATTTAATTTGATTTATATCACTTTTTGATTTTTTAATTCAATTGGCAATGAAGTGACCTTTTCATATCTGTACGATAAATGTTTAATATGTAAATGGTTCATATCTATGTTGTCTACCATTTGGTCGAGTTGTTGTCTCTTTGACACATTTCCCGTTTAAAATTTCTAATCTTTTTTCATATGTAATTAAAAATGGTGTATATTCACAGAACATATAATCTGACATCAGCATGTATACGTTCCATTTCAATGCAAATTCAAGCAAACATTATATCTGTTAGAACAATTTTATATTAGATTAGCATGCGCTACGTTTGATTACAACAATCTGAAGAAGAGACAAATCTTGTTAAAATGCGGGTCACCTGGATCATATGCATATATCTACACTCAAATTATATACGCACGGAATCAAATGACGTAGTATTTAATATAAGTTTAAAATAAATGAAAGCTACCAATAACAAAGTGTTGAGGAGAATAAAGCTTTTGTTTGTGCTACAGAGGCTAGTCGGTGAATAAAAGATACATATTCGTGGAGAAAACTGAACACGTAAACGAGCAGTGTATAATTGATCAGCTTAACAATGGATCTGTTACGATTTCTATTTGGACTGCGCTCTGGTGAACAACGATCGCAGCAAGTCCCGAAAAAGAGGTCAAATGTCTAGAGCAGTTTCAGAGTAAGAACAATACTGTCGAGGTTTATTATTAAAGATGGACAATTAGTTGAGTGAAAGTAGTTTTCGAACTACTAAACTCTTTCCAAATTTCATGAAAATATGTTATAACTCGAGGTTATTTATCTATATAGGTTATCATGCACTACGTTTGGTTACAACTATTTGACGAAGATGCAAATATTGTTAACATGCAAATCACCAGATTCTTAGGCATACAGCTACTCCAAAAATTATTTCCATTTAGGTCATATTTGTTTAACACAATGTTTGCGAAGCATTGCTTTTTTTAAAACTTATATTCAATTGGACAAGCTTTGGATTATCTAATTTTTCTCCATAATAAAATTTAACAGTGACTTCCCATTTTCAACAATAACATAGCCTCTGCTCCATCGCATGGAGTTTACATAGCTTATTTAATACGTAACGTTCGTGCATATTCACACTATACGGACTTCATTAACATGGGTGTGCTCCTTACTATAAATTGTTTCTTGAAAGTTATGAGGAAGAATTACTGGAATCGACATTTCATAAGGTTTACGGCCACCATCACGAATCAGACGATACGAGGTATCGGTGTCTCATCTTACTATTGTCATGTTTTTACGGTCTTAGATCGTTAGGTACTAGTATAGTCGTCTGATCTGTATTTTTCTAGATTTTGTTCTCTTCCTGATTGTAAGATTTTGACTGAGTGTGAATTCGTATGCCGGGTGATGCCTGCACAGCAGGAGACGCTTACCCTGTTTTCCTAATCGATTTGTAAGATTTTAAATTGGAAAACTAATGTCGCCTTAATTTCTTTCAATTAGATTTGTTTGATCCTGGAAATACTTTTAAAATTCTACACAATGTACACGTGGACAACCAAGCTGCACAAAATTATAAAAAAATTGTAGGGAAATCGGTCATTGTCCCTGTTTTCTAACACAGAAATAAACATTTGATAAACAACTTATATATAACAAATATTTACAACACAAGTGAATGCTTAAAATACATTCATAGTCATAAACAAACCAAGTTCTAATGAAGGAT